CCACTTACAACCAACTCTCTTGCAACCTTTTAGCAATTCTACAAGGTCCTAAACATCATTTCGTTTCATGGATTTTAATTCTTCTTTCATGGCATTTAACCACTTTTCAAAATTATCACAACTTACAGCTTGTGAAAATGGAATTGGATCATTTTCATTAATGCTTGAGTCAGTTTCTAACTCATGTAGATATACCATATAGTCATTTGAAATAACTGGTCTCCTTTCTCTTTGTGACCTCCTTAATGCTATTTCTTGTGGTTGTTCTATAATAGGTTCATTCTAAAACATGGGTTCATTATTGTGTTGCTCTTCTTCATTGTTATTTGACACAACAGTTAGAGGAACACTTACTTTATTGTCAGAGGCATAAGTCAAAGGAATTTTCATTCTAACTTCTTTAACTTCCACTCTCTGTGGAATTGTACTCCCATTAACTTCACCATTTTCAATGAACCTTGCATTTCCAGTTTCAACAATTCTCATACTATGATTGGGACAATAAAACATATACCCCTTTGATTTTTCTGGATAAACAATGAAATATCCACTGATTGTTCTTGCATCCAATTTCTTTTCTTGTGGATTATAAATCCTTATTTCTGCCTGACAACCCCAAACATGTAGGTGCCTTAAACTAGGTGTCCTACCAGTCCACAATTCAAAAGGTGTCTTTGAAATTTCCTTACTAAGAACCCTGTTTAACAAATACATGGCAGCTTTCAAGGCATACATCCACAAATATATGTGTAAAGTTGAATTACTTAACATACTCCTAACCATATCCATTAATGTTCTATTACGCCTTTCTGATACACCATTTTGTTGTGGTGTACCTGGCATTGTATATTGAGCACAAATGCCACGTCTTTGAAGAAGTTTAGCAAATGAACCTGGGTGTTGCCCAGTTTCATTATATCTTCCATAATATTCACCACCTCTATCAGATCTTACAACTTTCACTTTTTTGTCTAATTGCCTTTCTACTTCATTCAAGTAAATTCCCAAGGTATCGACTACTTGAGATTTCTCATGCAATAAATAGACATAACCATAACGTGAATAGTCATCTATAAAGGTAATGAAGTATTTTTCCTTTCCGAAAGAATTGACTTCAAAAGGACCACATATATCGGTATGCACAATTTCAAGAAGCTGAGTGCTTCTTGTAGCTCCTTTCTTTGTATGTTTTGTTTGTTTTCCTTTAATACAATCCACACAAATATTTAGATTCATAAAATCTAGATTTGGAAGAATTTCATTTTTTTTATTAATCTTTTCATTCTTTCTCTAGAAATGTGACCTAAACGTATATGCCACAAGAAAGCAGAACGTTCATATACTAAACTACGTTTAGTACCAATGTTATGATGCAAAGTTAAGAGAGTCTCATCATACAAATCATCCAAATTCAATTTATATAAACCATCACAAAGAATACTAGTACCAATGAGATGATTATACTTAAATAAACTGAAACATCCATTACCAAAAGTAAAAGAGAATCCAATAACATCAAGTTTAGATAATGAAAATAAATTCTTAGATAAACTAGGTGCATAAAGAGTTTCCAATAAATCTAAATGATGTCTAGTGTTAAGGATTAAACGATAAGTCCTGATTGCTTCAACTAGAACTTTCACTCTATTCCCCATGAAGATGAACTTCTTATTTGGGCTTATGGTTTGGATTGTAGTTAATCCATGCATCGTATAGAAACATGAGTCATACATCCAGAATCGATCCACCATGTATTATGGGGAACTTCAGTTAAATTTGACTCAAAACATACATAAACATTAAGCTTACCTTTCTTTTCGAACCAAGCCTTACGTTTTGGGAAATCCTTCTGGAAGTGTCCAGATTTCCCACAAAATGGAAATTATTACCCGTTGATGCTTTCTTCTAGATTTGCACAGATGCTCATTAATCTTTAATGGCCTTTTGCCCTTATCATGTTTCTTAACAAATTTCTTTTCAGCTCCTTGATTCCTTTGGTGGCTTACATAATGAATTGAGTGACTTCCTTGATTCTTAAGTCTCGTTTCCTCCTAAACCAACATATTATGCAATTCATGCACATTCCATTTGTCTTTCATGGTATTATAGCTCATTTGAAATGGGCCATACTCAGTCGGTAATGAGTTAAGAATAAACTATACAAGGAAGTTCTCATTCACAGCCATTCCCAAGGACTTAAGTCTTGTTGCAATATTTGTTATCTCAATGACATGCTCATGCATAGTACATGAACCATCAAACTTTATAGTGATCAATGTACTCATTAGTGTCCCAGCAAGAGACTTATCAGCTGTTTGAGAGCGCTCTCCCACAAAACCCATAATGATGCTAATAAATTCAATCATTATTTTGCAACTAAACATACACCAATTAGAATTATCTAATACCTTTGGATATATAAATAATCTAATAGCACACATAAGTCACACACAATTATATTCATTAATTATGAGAACAACTAATCAACCTTTGGGCGATATATAAATCTCTTATAATAATGAATTTCAATATACCCATAAACAAACAAATTATTTTATTTAGCATCCATTATTCTATGGGTAATTGAATTAAATCACCATTAATGTGGAATTAAATAAATATAAAATTTGGTCACTTTGGTGACTAACAAATTCATCATACACTTTATTCCAAAATTTGATTAAAAGGAAAAAAAATTAATTCTTTTCAATTAGAAATACAAATTTAGGCATTTAAAAAAAAACTTTCAAGAAAATAATTCTTATGCGATTACCACTAAGATTTTGATAACTTGAAATTTAATATATTGATCATAATTCAAAATTAAGAATTACATTCATGATTCAAACAAACAACATGCAGCGGAAAATTAAATCATAATTCCTAACTCATAAAATTAGGGTTCATATGAATTGGGATTTATATATATACATATAATTGTCCCAAATATCATTTAATATTGCAACAATGACCGTGACAAAATTATTCCACTTCCGGTGGTACTCAAAGGATCAAATATAATACTTATATCATATTTGTTTCTTTATCTATTATTTTTCTTTTCACTTTTCATATTATTTTCCCACTTACGGTGAGGATAATATTCTGTTATTTTTATTGTCGTACAATTATCTCACTTTCGGTGAGAAAATATTCTTTTATTTTCATTATTGCATAATTATCTCACTTCTGATGAGAAAAATATTCTTTTATTTTCATAGTTGCACAATTATCTCACTTCCGGTGAGAAAAAAATGCTTAAAATTTCTTCATTTGACAATGTCTTCTAGATCATTGCAAAATCTTACATATGTATATATTTAACATTCATTGAAAATTATACAATTTTACAACACATATCATTCACGGAGAATCATTCAATTTCAAAACCTCGCTCTAATACCACATGTAAGTTCTATGATTTTCTAATACATCAATTATAGAAAATTAAAGAATCTTTGAAATTCATGATACTCACGTAATAATAAGAAAAGTATGTACCTTTCTCCATAATGAAAATCTTCTTGATCCTTAGAGTACTTTGATCTTCTTAAGAAGAGAACCAAGATTTCACTCCCTTTGACTTTTCTTTCTGCTCTCTCTATCTTTTGTGATGGCTAGGGTTTGAGAAAATACTTTCTGTCAGGCGTGTAGACCTCGTTTCACATTAATGGATATTTATAACCCCTAAAGATTTTTATTCCTATCAAATAACAATTATTCTCAAAACTGCTCCATTAAGCCCATTTATGATTTAGTCCCTATTTATTTATTTGTTAGCCCTTTTATACATCACATGTTTCTCACATGAGACATAATTATCTTACAAACGGGACAAATTAATTCAAAAATATCATCCTTCATACAATTTTTTTTTTATATAATTAAAATAGCTGAATATAAATAATTTTCAAGGTTCAGAGTTAGGGTGCTAAATTTGTAAAAGGCAGAAAATTGTACAGAGTACGAACCACGAAAAAGGAAAACTCGTTAAACAATCTTGGTCAGTGCAATTCATCCATCTTTGATGCCATGGTGCATTATTTCTAATGTACCACAGTCCACGAATTGCATATGGAAGAGGGGCTTGAGTTTCTTAACAGACTTTGACTGAGGTTTTATTGAAGCCTTGAAAGTTGAAACTTGTTCACCACTTGCAACTTGCAATTCAGAAACAAAATAACATAATGCTCATTGTACAACTAATGTTAAACCAACAAACCAAAAATTATAGGGATTTCCACAAAAATCACAATATTATGTGTAATGATTGACAATACTATGAAACACATACCGACTTAGGGCATCAAAATGATTATTTATAACCCAGGAGTATTCATATGATTAAAATCCCAACCTAGTAGTTAAATTATATCTTCATATTATATTATATGTTTATGTCAAATTTTGTTAATATTAAACAAGAATTAAAAACTAATTAACTTGTTTATGTTTATATTTTAAAATGTATATATTATGATAATTTTGATATATATGAATGAGATATAAATTATTTTGAATTAATATAAAATTTTGTATATATAACTTAGAAATAAATAACTTCCAATCTAAAAGTGAATTTTAAAAAATTATTTCTTAATTGAAAGTTATTTAGTGGAGTAATTTCTCCTTTCTCTCTCTATTTATATAGAATAAAAATTAGGGTGGTTGGGCTTTAGAAGAAACGCGGCCCAAGTTGAGGTGGTGCCCAAGGATCAGGATCAGGATCAGGATCCGGATCCTCTCCCTTATCCAGCTTCTCTCTATAACCCCATTAGTCAACTAACAATTATTTATTTATTAGTTATTAATTAAATATTAAATGACGGTTGTGATTTATGTAAAAGTAAAACCCAATAGAAACTCATTAACCGTCATTGTCAAAAGTTCAACGGGTTGTGAGACCAAGCAGTGGCAGTTGCGGAGATGAGGAGCAGAATACAAAAGTTGGTCAAGTTGTTCAACTTGGGTAGAGGCCCCATATGGCAAAATTCTTCTTTAATAGCCAACAAATTCAAAAGTCCAAGATATGGGGCACATGTAGACAACTGTACCACAGCAATTCAAACGTCGCCGTCTTGGACTTCATTCTTCTTCTCCTTCCAATCTCCTTCTTCTCCGATCCCTCCATCGCTCCCCAATGAACCCAATACCTCTCAATCTCATACTCCTCTTCCTCTATTTCACCCCCGCGCTCTCGCTGGACCCAAAATTCGAGGCCTGCGAGCCCAAAACATGCGGCGCAGGCCCAAACATAAGCTACCCCTTCTACATCCGAGGGAGACAAAACCCCTTCTGCGGGAACCCAGGGTTCGAAGTCACGTGCGGCCACAATGGGCTCCCGATTCTGAATCTGATAAACAGCAACTACACGGTGGAGAGAATCTTCTACAGAAACCACACGCTGCGAGTGACGAACCCGGCGTTTTCGCGGGGGAACGGGTCGTCGGCGTGCTTGGGTCACGCGCAGAACGTGACGGTGGGGAGGTACAGGTTCCGCGTGGCGCCGGGGCAGAGGGAGGTGTGGGTGGCGTACGGGTGCCAGGGGGTGGGGGCGCGGAGGATCGGGTGCGACGCGGGGAACGGAACGGCGTCGGTTTGGGGGGTGGAGGTGGAGGCGGAGGTGGCGAGGGGGAAGTGCTCGGGCGGCGTGGTGGCGGCGACGGTGGAGGATGTGAGAGGCGGCGTGGCGGAGGCGCTGAGGAGAGGGTTTTTGTTGATTTGGAATGCGACTAACTGCACGGAGTGCATGAACAGCGGAGGGAGGTGCGGCTTTGACCCTGACCCCGACACATATGCTTTTCGCTGTTACTGTCCTGATAGGCCTCATGCAGTCAAATGTGGTACGCGTTACTCTCCTTCTTCTGCATTTCCCACTTTTATTTCTTTCATCAAAAATCATATTAATTTAAATTATAAAATATTAAATTAAATAATAATTTTATTTAAAATATCAATATTTTAATATTTATGATTTGGAGATACCAATCCTCTTTCTTAATACTAGAGAGTCTCTAATAGTTATATACTAATAAAATATTAGAAAGTTGTGTATAATTATTTAAAAAAATTTGAGAATTTTTTTATATCTAAAAATATAATAGTCCATTAAAAAATGAAAACCAAAAAGCGGTTATATCTCCTATATCCCTTTATAATAGTTATAGATATTCTCCTATTTTCGTTGCGTTCAATTAACCGCTATTCGTGGTTTTCAATATCTCTTAATCAAACATTCAAGAGTAAAACAATGAAAAAAATTATATAGACAACAAGACAAGAATAAGGAATTTCTCCTTATATATATAAGTGTAAATTAGTGGGTCAAAGCATTAATAGAAATATTTAATACATTTTAAAATTTGTTAGATGAATTGGTGTTGCAAAGTTTTAAGGTTTTGAATTTAAATTTTGTATATATAAGAGTAATTATTTTTATTATTTAAAAATTTAAAATAAAATTATCTAAAAAAATGTATGCATAAATTAGATTATCATCTTTATAGTAAACTAGTAAGGTCAAGATACTTTATATTTTATTTAATTAAAATATTTAAAAATTATCAAAATCTGTTAGTTGTGCTTGATCAAATTTTAAAGTATTAAATCTGAATTTTGTGTTTGTAAAAATAATTGATTTTTAATATTATTTTTTGTTATTTAAAAATTTAAGGATAAAATTTTATATATATATATACCAAATTAGACAATTATCTTTAGATGTGTTATAGATTTATAATAAATTATATATAAAAAATACTACATTTAAATTTATAAAATATATTTAAAATAAATATATATAAATATTTTAAATATATTAATTATATTTTAAATTTATGATAAATAATTTATATTGTATATTTTTTTGTTTATTATAATTTATTTTAAATATTAATATTTAACTAATAAATAATTCTGATAAAATTAGAAATGAATTAGATGAGAGATTATAAAAATTCTTAAAAATTATCCCATCAGCAAAACTCTTGAAAACATTATAAAGTTTCATATGTTTAATATATATGAATTGGTTTAAAGTAAAATTTCATATTAAAAAAATCAAACAACTATATTTAAATTTTGTTAGATCGTAATAATATATATTTATGTATATTATTCAATAAAATTCTAATTTTTATAGAATAAGAACAACAATTATACTTTAAAAAAGTTATACCTAATTATTATTATTATTTGCTGAGTGTTGCAATAAAATAGGTTTGATCATAGTTTTAAAAATCGGTGGGTCACTAGTTGAACCGCATGACTTGATTTTTATTTATTTTATTAAAAAGTATTCATACTAAATATATTTTATACATATAAATTTTAATAAATTCATGTCTTATTTTAAATTTCAAATTTCTATCTTATTTAAAATTATTTTTATTTTTATTTTGTAAAAAATATATAAAAAATTACATGTTAAAGTGTATATTAATGAAATTAAAAATATAAATAATATGTACATATATGATATCATAAAATAATATATGTAATATCTACATAGATATTATATTATTAAATATATAATTTAAAATTAATAATATACTATAAAAGTTATTTAAGTTGTATATATTATAAACAAATACATTAGAATAAGTAGTCATTGTTATATTTAATGAGAATTTTTGTTCTTTCATTAAGAGATTCAATTTTCATTATTATTTTTGTGGTTTATGGTTCTTTAAAAATTTTTTAAAAAAAATAAGAAAAAAAAGTGATTGAACCGGTTTGACCACTGATTTACTGGTTGAACCGGAAAATTGACTGGTTTAATCTGTTTTGAAACGGGTCGACTACATAATCGATCCAACTTAAGATTCGGACTGGCTAGACCACCAGTTCTTGGTCCAACCAGTCCGACCGGCCAGTTCGATTCGGGTTTTTAAACACTAGGTTTGATAGTTCAGTTACATTCTATGCCAATCATAATGAGAGAGAGGTAGTGCGTCCAAAAGTGAGATTCGGGATAACACTACCGGTAAGATTAAGGTAATAATATATGAGAAATTCTATGGTGTCTATAATATATTTTCAATCAGATTACCCAAAACTAAGAAAGGAAAGAAAAGTGAGATTGGGAAATACGAACATATGCTTTGTCCATTATTGTCCTAGTAAAATAGAAAGAAAAACTAAAAGAAAAAAATAGAGGACAAATAAGATTAAAAAAAAAAAGGTATGTTGTTTAAATTCATAGAAATAGAAATGAAAGAAGTAAGCAAGTTTCGCTCTAATTAATTTAAAAAGATCCATAATTGTAGATTTTATGAGTTAAAAACTATAAAAAGTTTTAGGAAAATGTTATTGAGAAGTAAGAAATAACTTTTATTATTATTATTGAAAAACATAATATTACACCCATCACTTTAATATATAATTTTCTGAATAATTTTTTACTTTAAAATTCTGGTAATCAAGACTCGAAGTTTTAATATATCTTAAAAACATTTTTTTAAAAAAAATCATAATATATTTGAATATTTGATAAAGTTGACTCGGTAGTGGAATTATTGTATAATATATAAGATGTTAAATTCGAACTTTGACATAATTATTATAATTTCCAGTAATGAAAAGATTATTCACTTGGAAAACTTTATGGATACTGGTTCGACATGTCATGTTATCAATTCAAATTCAGTGTTAAAGTCATGCAATTTAATAATATTTTCATTCTAACAATCAATTTAGACAATAAAATTATCGATTCTTAATGAGACAGTGGTTTAGAGAACATCTACAGGAATAAAAGATACGCAAACTGACGGTGAATTTAATTACAATTTTCTTATGATAAGTTTATTAATTTTAATAATAATTATCTTAAAGATTACATTAAAGTTAATTTTTAATTGATTAATAATATATAAAAAATTTATACCAATAATACATATCTATTAAATTAATATTATAAATATGATTTTTTTAATTTGAATAATAGTATTTATAGAAGCTAATGTTAAATAAGAGTATTTTAAAAGTTATTTTCGAATTAGAGTTCTTTTTCTGAGTTATTCTCACTTTTATTTGAGTCATATGTTTTATATTAATCTTAGGTATTGAACATTTAATTTAGTTTTTAAATATATTTATTAATTTTAATTTTAATTTCAAATTTAATTTAATTTAACAACTAGTCTTAAAAAATATTCTTTCTCAGCCATCAAAAACTAATCTGGTTTTATTTTTGTTCATATACTTGATATTCTTAATCACCCATCTCTTTCAATTTACTTTTTCATATTTATTTCTAAATTTAATTTAATATTATTTTAAAAAGTTGCAATAATTGAAAATATTATATCACAATATAAATTATTTAAACTTAATTTAAAATGTAATTTATATTCTTAAAATATTTATTTATTAAAAATTTCATTATTAAAAATATTTATTTGAAAGTTTAGTTATATAAAAATGAATATATTTTTTCTATGCAATACACAATCTAAAATACTAATTACATTTACTTTTTAATACTAAATTGAGAAATGTAGAAAATTTGATTCAAGTATTTGGTTCAACACTCAAATTAAGTATTTTTTTATAAGTTTATTAATTATTTGTTTGACCAACTGATTCGAAATATATGTATTTTTAATTTTCAATGTATTGTTCTTTTACCATGTGAATTTTGCGTGCATTTTATTGAATTAGAAATAAAATTAATAAGTCAATTTACACTTTAATTAATAATAACAGAGGGTTGTTAAAAGTACTTTTTCTAAAATATAATTAAAATGTAACATGCACAGAATGCTTGGGGCTATGGTAGGTAGGATATGTTATGTGGCCCAAGTTTCAGATTCACATTTAAGCTTTTGGAATAAGAGGCAAATAAAGAACAATAGCTCTTTTCATTTTGCGATGGTGGGTGTGTGGCCATATGTGAATAGGGGTTAGGCCCAACTTTCATCTTTTCAATCTTTTTTATTTTTTTTTGCTTAGCAAAGAAAGGTATGCAAAAGTCCACCTCAGGTTCAAATATATTAAAGAATGAATTGCGTGAAAATTATGCGTCTTGGGGAAAAGGGTGGTGTATGGTGAGACTGTAGATAAAGTGTACATGGATATACTTTTGAATTTTAACTTATCAAGATTATAATATATTTTAGGTTTCATTATATTTTTATTTTTTTTAAAATTTTAATTTGTGTGATTTTGATTTTTTTGTTTTAATTGTATGCATTTAAATGTTCTCAAAGTTTCTTAATTATTAAAATTAAGTCTTTTATTACAAAATTAATGGAAGAATGATGAAAATGCCACAAAGGTGTAACATGATGTTGATTTTATAGACCGACTAGTAGAAAAGTGATCTCTGTGTCTCTATGTGTTTTGTTTTAAAAAATAAAAATAATAGATGTTAAAATAGTTAGTAGTTTACAATTGTAGAATCATAAGTCATTTTCTTTTTGAGATAGTTACGGGGTTGAATAAGATAAAAATAATGGGTACACTAAAATTAGTAGGTATTCTTTTTTATATGTAGTATAAATATAGATAATGAAGGAAATTCTGCTGTGGTAATGCTTATGTTTACCACAAACATCACTGATTTATGATGAAGAGACAAGTTTGGGAAAGGATTTAGAAAAGAAAAGGCAAAAATATCAGAAATTTTGAACATTATGATTTTGTAAAGGCATTATTAGGTTTATGATTTTTCTTTTAATAAGGCCCTCACTTTGCGTGCATATTTTTGTCTGAAATATCATGTATTTTATGGCATTATTAGGTTTATGAGAATTCGTAGCTAGACATTGTTTACCATATCATGTTTTTGACATTATATTCAATAGTTAAAATATATGCAGTATTAATATTTTTAAGAGATTGATGCATTCTTATTTCTTATATGAAACGAATGACCTTACACACGCATATTTAAGTGATATACCCAAAAATAATTTATTTTGAATACCGAGTTTAAGAAATAGAGGCACAAAGCGTGGTGGCATCTTGATTTATATTTCAAGGGGAGAGGTCCTAGGTTTGATTTTTCAAAACTTCAAATCGTACTTCTAATATATGCACGAGTCATATTTGATAACTAATAATGTGAAAGCATCACATAATTTATCACATAATTTTTAAAATGTTCCATTTGATTCTCTAATTTTTTAAAAATATTTTAATGGTAATTTAGATAAAAAGACAAAATTAAATATATTTTAAAAATTGAAAAATTAAATTAAATCTTTTTAAAATAGTGAGACTAAATTAAATTTAAAAAAAAAATTAAAAAAAAATATAGTTTATCATAGCATATGTTGTATACTTGGTTAGTATGTTGTATTTGTACCGATAATTTTCATACTTACATGTTAAACACTTAAACTATTAATGACGAGACTAGTAATACTTCAGTTACTGTCAGGCGCAGAGCCAAGATTTTTAATTTAAGGAAGTCACTAAAAAAAATTACACGCATCTTTTTTAAAAAAAATCTCCGGATAAGAATTTTTGACATAAAATTAATATTTTTTATAAATAAATAAATAATTATATTGAACATATGACAAACCTTAACCAACAAGTATAATTAACATACAAATTAGATTGCAAAAATAAGAGGGTAAAAAAATATGAACACTAATAGTAATTTTTTCTAATATCTTTTCTACCATTGATGGAAGTTTATTAATAATATTCTGGTGAGATTCATTTTCTTCAAAATTAATTTAAAAGTGAGATCTATTAAAATTAATAATTTTAATAAATTTCAATCAATCATAATGATAAAAAGAGTATTCTTAACATTCTTAAAAAAATAAAAACACTTCTTTAAAAAAAATAACAAAAACATAACATACTGCATTAAAAAATATGATAAAATAAAAAAGCATGTCAATAAAAAATAAAAATATTAATAAGATAAAAAGAAGGTGAAGGAAAAATTGAAAAGAGAAATAAAATAAAGACACCAAGACAAAATGACAAATACAAAATAAATAAGTAATATCAATTAATAAAAAAAACTAGACAAATGAAAAATTAGTAAAAAATGAAAGTAAGAGATAAATTCAATTGTATAGTAATAAATCTGGAAACAAAATAGAGTATGATGAACATAATAAGCTAATATAAGATTAAAAAAATGAAAGAGGTTAAAATCACATTTGCACACAGTACTATAACAAAATCATAAGAATTTTCGGGGCCCCACTGCCTCCACCCTTGGTTACTGTATTTATTCTTTCTTTTTAGTAACACGTGTTAATTCTGTTTTGTCTGAAAAGTTATTCGTTGTGGCCGCAATATGTTTTGAAGTTGGTGTTTGAAATACATGTCTGAAAAGCACACGTTTCAAAGTTTCAGATACACATGTTATACACAACAGTTAGCTGGTGCTTGAAATTTTGGTATGGATGTGTTTTCCGTTGATTAGTCCACCTAAAATGACAATAATCAACTATGGTTTGTTAACTAACAGCCTAAAACTACGACCTTGACCTTCCCCTTAGTCTCTTCTCCTTTCTTTACTCTAATTTCAGCGGGCTCATGTTTTTCTCTATTCATTTCACTATTTTCAACACAACAGCACCCTATCCTCTAAGAATTTAGACTTGGGTTCTCTTCAGTTGAAATTTCAACAACACAAATCTTCACCTTCTTACAACCTTTGCATACATTAAATAATAAAAAAAATGCCAATTTGAAAATTTTCAATGGTCAAAGATAAAACTACACGACCCTGCAATTCTGGTAGGGGTATTTTTGTTTGTTTTTTTTTTAATTAAAGAGGGATGTGCATACTCTAGAATCATCACTTCAGTTGGTAGAAAAAGGATTTGATTCCTCTTATGTTAGTATCTAACATCACATGATGACATGACAGAGTCATGTTAGTGACAGAAACACAAATAAAATCAGAGGACCCTACGCAAATAATGGTGGCTCCTTCTGTAATTGTTTTATTTCGTATGACATTGCCATGTCAATTACTAGCACGAGAGAATCCTGATCTGAAGCCGATAGGCAAAAATTGAGCTTCAAATTCTTCCATGAAGTTCATTTCAACAAATCTTCCTTACTCATCTTCAAAGTCAAATGTGATGAGATACAAATAAGTCTCACTTCAATAAAATAAGAGAAAAAAAAATAACTTATAAAGCACACACATGCTCCAATGTTAGAGAGGCCTTTTGGGTGATGACCAAAAGTAAAACCGTGAAGGCTTGGGCCCAAAACGGATAACATCTCATCATTGTGGAGAATGTTTGTATAATAACCTTATAAAAATAACCTTCATAAAATATCCCCTCAAACAAATACCATAAAATAAATCCATCAAAATGCATAGGGATCAGAACTTTGAGAAATGCAAATAACATTTGCTTGATGTTGCAACACATCATAGAGCTTAAAATAGAGTACAGAGTTCCAAAGAAATGGAAAACTATTTCATTGATATTGAATAAGATGGATTGATACAAGAGGGATAGCATTTATTTATAGGACACAAGAGGCATAGCATGGAAGCTACTAGATTGGAAATTTGGGATCTGTAAGAGCCAAACTGAATGGTGCATATACAGCCCATAGAGATATCATAGAGAAAAGAGAAGTTTAACTACCTAACTGTCTAACTGAATACTACCAACTGTGTTGTAACTTTCTACGTTGGTAAGCATTTAACCCTTCTACTATAATACACTTCCACCCAATTTTGGCTTTTTCTCTTTAAGTCTCAAGTTCAATTCAACCATGTGTAAGTGCGACCGTCTTAGAATGTGAATTTGAGTTTAACTCAACCGTATAAAACTGGTTTGTAAGGTGAAGGTTGTCCCCCACTTATAAATTTTGTTTGTCTTATTACCTCTGGTCGATATGAAATTTGGATTTTTTCCAATAAGCTACAACTTCCATGCAAGCCACAAAAAGATTTTTACAGTACTTGTACTGTTTAGCGTGATTTTGGTCATTACTATGGTTGGGCCCTTCCATCACTGATGGACTTATGAGTTCTTGCACAGCATGCACAACTATTAACTATCAACCTACAAAGTTTTAATCAAAGATGCTTCCGATTCTATGGATCCATTTATGTTTGTAACTGCTGATATTTTCACTACAGTAAGAATTGTCAGATGAATCTGCAAGTTGTCACCATAAGATAGAAGGTCAGTGTCAACCTGACAGAAAAAATGCTACCAGTATTTCCTTCTAAATTTATAGGAGGCTGCTTTTTGTAGAATGCTACAAACTCAGTTCTTGATTATATAACATAATCCCTATCTAAGAGCACATGTGAAGTGAGATTGTGAAAAATTAGACTTGTCTTTGAATGAATGTGCCTAATTTAAGTTACTAATTTGCTGTTTTTGCATTTACATGCTCCTTGGTGACTTTCTTATCATCTCAATATTAACCATTTGACACTCAGGATTAGAACAGTACATACTTTTTCCTGTCTAATTTTGTCGTCTTAGTTACATTTCTCTGTTGCTCAATCTAATTTTATTGTTTCTTCAAACTCCAGCTGCAGGGACAAAAGGGTTGAGTAATGCAGGAAAAGTAGGCATAGGTATGTACACAATATTTATATTACGTGCCTTGAAATTTACTTATCTTGTACAATGTTTCATTAACATGAAAAAACCAAGCATTTTATGATTTTTCTTCTAAACCCGTTATTTGACCAGTTCTTTCTTTTAGAAATGTGAAATAGAAAATGCTTTTAAATATTCCCTCGTGTAGCACCTTCAAATATACGAATTGCATATGTGAATGTTTCCACATAATCTTCTATTGATATTTCCTTTTGGCCTCCTTCCATAGGTTCAAGTGTTGGACTACTATGCATCGTGGTGATTGGTTGGCTCCTACATTACAAAAGAAAACACAGTTCCTCAGGTGATGAACTCCAAACAAGAAGTACTTATTCTGATCCCTCTCCGGATCCAGATGTCGAAGGTGGCAGTGCATACTGTGGAGTTCATCTCTTCTCCTACAAGGAGCTTGAAGAAGCAACAAACCGTTTCGACCTTAATAAGCAAATTGGAGATGGAGGCTTTGGTACCGTCTACTTTGGTAAACACTCAAGCACCACCCAGTTAACTTGTTATTCAAGCATTAAAATAGCTCCTTCCTGTTGTATAATTTAGAACTAAATATGTTTTTAATCCCTAAAATTTTGTCAATTTTTATTTTTAGTCTCTAAAGTTTTTAATGGTTTTAGTTCCTAAAATTTTGAGGTCGGAGACAAAAAAATGTTAATGAGAGCCAAAGTTGAGGGATTAAAAGTAAAAATCAACAAAAGTTTAGGAATTATAATTAATAAAAAAGTATTCAAAGGCTAAACGTGAAAATCAACAAAATTTAAGGAGTACAAACAAATATTTTACTAGTTTTAGTCTCTGAATTTTTTTGCCGGTTTTTACTTTTTTAGCCCTTAAACTTTGGCCAATTTTCGCTTTTAGTACTTGAACAAATTTTTATTAGTTTTAGTAAAACCAAAATCAAAATTATTCAAGAATTAAAAGTAAAAATCGACAAAAACTCAAGAATTAAAAACATTTAATCCTATAATTTATGCTTAGATCTTTAAAACCCAGGGAAACTGAAAGATGGAAGGGAAGTTGCTGTGAAGCACTTATATGATCATAACTACAGGCGAGTAGAACAGTTCATGAATGAAGTTCAGATCCTCACACGTTTACGCCACAGAAATCTTGTGTCACTCTATGGCTGCACTTCACGTCAGAGCCGTGAGCTACTTCTTGTGTATGAATACATTCCAAATGGCACAGTTGCCAGCCATCTCCATGGTGAACTGGCAAAGCCTGGCTTGCTAACATGGCCTATACGAATCAAAATCGCCGTAGAGACTGCTAGTGCATTGGCCTATCTTCATGCTTCTAAAATCATTCACCGTGATGTCAAGACTAACAACATTCTTCTTGACAACAGTTTCTGTGTTAAAGTTGCGGATTTTGGCCTTTCAAGACTGTTTCCAAATGACATCACACATGTCTCCACAGCACCACAAGGGACCCCGGGTTATGTTGATCCGGAATATCACCAATGCTACCACCTCACTAGCAAGAGTGATGTGTATAGCTTTGGAGTTGTGCTCATTGAGCTAATATCATCCATGCCAGCTGTTGATATGAACAGGCATAAGGATGAAATCAACTTGTCAAATCTAGCCATAAAGAAGATCAAAAAGGGTGCATTGAGTGAACTGGTTGACCCTTATCTGGGTTTTGAATCAGACAATGAGGTCAAGAGGATGATAGTTGAGGTTGCAGAATTGGCTTTTCAGTGTTTGCAATTGGACAGGGAATTTAGACCTTCCATGGAGGAAGTCCTTGAGGTGTTGAAGAGAATTGAAAGAGGGAAGGATGAGACAAAGCATCTGGAAGAAGCAGATGTTCATAGCTCTGAGGTTTCACATAGTAATGCAAAAGAATTGGATGAAGCTGGATTATTGAAGAATAGGAAGCCACCTTCTTCACCAATATCTGTTACTGAAAGTTGGGAAAGTAAATCTACCACGCCTAATGTAAGTTCTTAAACACTTGGCTTATTATCAGTTAGTGATACTTAACAAGCATTCAGCACTCATTGTATCTTGTCATCCACTTGTATAGTTATAGGATGATTGTATTATGCGGCAAATCGTAGTCAAGCCTGGAGTTGAGTGATTATAAATTTGAATATTCAGAATAAAAGAAAATGTAGTTTTTGATTTTAGAAATGTGCTACTGCTGCCACTTTTAAGCTATACGCAGGACCATTTTTAGGTGCCGGAGTATCATACACCGCTCCAAATATTTAATTAAAACAATATTATTTATTGACTTGCATAAATTTATATTAAGCCAACACCTTCATACGATGAATAATTTAAATATGGAAGAATTACAATAAAAATCAACTGTTCAAGCCTTCATGTTTAATGTGTCATATGTTGATGGTTGACATGACACATTATATTATGTTAGCATTCATATGTTATATTGATAATTTATGTTAATGATAAATATGTTATATTAGTGGTTAACATATTATGTGAGTGGTCAATTAATAACATTAGATGATCAATTAATAGGGTAGTAAAATGTAAAAATTTAAAAGTTATGCCTTATTAAGTTTGATAGTTAGTTCTAAGGTTTTTAAATTTTAAAATCTAACATTAGTTTCTAAATTTTAACAAAAAATTTTAAACCCATATTACACTATTGAAATAACATAATTTTAGGCATAGATAGGTAAAAGACTATACAAAAGAGAATGAAAATTTCTCTTTCCTACTTTTTTATTAGAAACCATGTGTGTATTTTTTATTATTATCTTAATTATATGAAATATAAAAATAATTTTGATGTATTAATTGTTAAATATCTTTATTTTATTAGGATGTTTGTTAATGAGGCACTTGCTTGCTTCTATTAAAGTGAACATATTTAACTAGGAGTGTAAGCGAGTTGGATTAGGTCAAGTTTGAATAAATTTATTATTTGACTTAATCAAAATTTAACAGATTAGGTTCAGTTGTGTCAACCGATTCAAACATAATTAAATTTATTTATTTTTTGTAAAAAATTAAATATTTTATAGTAAATGTTAATCATTTGATATCTTGTTAGAATGTAATATATCAACTCATAAAGTAAATAATAATACAAATTAAATTTTAAAATCCATTTGTTGATTTGATATATTGTTATTAGTTCAAATAACTAACATTAAATACAAAATAAAATTTAAAATAAATATGTAGTATTGTTACAAAGTTATCAACCGAAAAAAACAACTTGTTACTAACCAAGATTAACAGAGAGTATCATCTTATAAGAAAGTCATCATTAAAACACTAACTTTTATTATTATTATTATCATACAGTGTTGGGTCACGGGTCAAAAAATAAAAAACTCATTATCTAACCAATACAGTGTTAAATTTTGATCCAGTTGAATTGGATCTTATTTGACCGCTAAAAAATCTTATCCAAATTCACTAAATCAATTTTGGTTAGTTTGAGTTTGCGAATATACCTACTTACACTCTCATCCTTAGATAATTTTTTTTTTTTTTTGCATGAAAGACAGCCAGTGGTGCAAAAATACTATACTTGAAATTAGGAGTGATTAAGTTGGTATCATTAAATCTGTCAAAAAAAAAAAAAAGTTGATATCATAAAATGTTAGAGCAAAAGACCAATAAGATACTAACAAAAACATAATTTTAAACATATAGTTAAGATTTGGTACGGAATAAAAGTACGGAATAAAAAAAATAGTAAAGAGTTGGTTAAATTAATTTGTTGGTCGTATAATTTTATCAAAATTTTAATTAGGTTTCTATAATTAAAAATACTCTAAAATGATTTTTATAGTTTAAAAATATTATAGTTAAATCTTTCATCCACTAACATCGTTTAAATTTTGTTACTTTATGTTGAACAAATAGTGTGACATGATAATTACCTTTTAATATGATAAATAATTATCTTTTTATTTTTATTTTTTAAAATGCTTCTTAATAAATCTCTAATTTTAATATGTTAATTATAACAAAAATTATAATTCCTTTCACATTTAAATTTAAATTATATCCCTTAATACATTATTGTTTTTTATTAGGAGTGGTAAAATGAATCAATCCACTCCATTTTAGCCTATTCAATAAAAAATGGGATGGGATAGGTTGGCTTGTTTGATGAAAGTGGAAAGGAATTTTGCCCCCATAACTTAGGGGCGGGTTGGCAGGCTAGTCCCTGAATATATATATATATATATATA